ATCGCCTAAGTACATGATTACTCTCCCAGCGTGACTGCTAGGACATCGTCATACCTCAAAGGCACTAATTTTGATCGGTTCTAAAAATTTTTGGCAGAATAGGTTAGCTGTCCTATATTAATGTCTTAAACATCATGCAGATCGGATTGTAAGATCTGTTGTAAAATCTGGTAGATATGTTCTAACCGATTCTCACCATTTTCCTGCACCTGGCCATTTTAAAATTCTCTTCGATATCTTCTTCCATCAGGTTCCAGTATACCTGAATCAATACGACAACTGAGGCATGCAAAAAAATCTGTGATCCTGCAGACGGCTCAGACGCTGCAGAACGAGGAACTGGAAAGGCAGAGTCTGCTCGAATCGATCCTCTCATGTTAACCTCTAATATTTATCTATTTAACTTTCTCTCCGTTAATCCGTTTCGTTTCCATCGTTCTATCTTTTGTTTTCTTATCATTTATCTTTTTTGCTGTGTTTTGTACATGTTGTCCCCGAATTATGATGAGATTGCGTTCCGATAATCGCATCGTAAGACGAAAATATCGTAAGTGGGGGGACGACCTTTGTACAGAGTATAGACGAACACAATGCAATGTATGACATAGTTATAATGTAATGTATAGTGCTATAGCATAATGTACTGTATAGTTGGTGTTACATTTAACAAACCCCATGCCCTGTAATTTGTAATACAGTAAATATTATAAAGTACTTCTACTATAGTGTACTGTAGAGATGATTAATAAATCTTTGAAATTGTGTTGCAGTACAGTGCATATATTTACAATGTGCTTTGCAGCAATAAATTTTGGTACACTTTAACACACTGTAAATCAATAATATTACAATCGCCAGACGTCTTCGATATTACGGTAGAATACAGTGATGCAACACATTTGATGGCTTCCATGACCCGCTTTTTGTCTTTGAGAATCGTTGATTGGGGTAACTGAAAATCACGTGCTATGGCCATGAGTGGTTTCCCTCCTTCCCGCTGGTTTATGATCTTCATTTTATCTTTCAAGGTAATGGCTTCCCTGTTCTTCTTCTCACTACCAACGGGAGAAGCATTAACACGTTTGGGGCCATTCTTATAGAAAAATAGCACAAATTTTAGGCACAAAATGACACAAAGGGTAAATATTTCTTGAATCGCTATCTCACTAAGAGTTAAATCGCTGGAAATTGAGGCAAATCACGCGTTAAGTGAGGCTATGCTGCCTGCAGCAGGCTCCCAAGTGTACCCAAACTACCGTGTGGCATTCGCTTGCGCTCACCTGTTCTTCTTCTTCTTGTGAAATTGGAAATATTTTTCGAATTTTGTTGTAACGTACTCGGTATCGTAAGATCGAAAAATCGTAACTCGGGCACTATCTGTATGTATATTGCCATACCTGTGGGTCAATCACCGACTGAAACATTAGTCGGTGTTAGTTTTGCGCTATTTTCAGTAATTTAAGTAAACGTTTTTGATTGATCGATGATACACTTTTGAGGTTATATCTTCCATGCTTTCATTCTGGCATCATTCAGAACAATTGTTATCGCTGCATTTATTCGAGTAATCGAGTGTAGTAAGGGTTCTTTAACTGATCGAAATTTGTGTGCACAAATTACTGCAGGACCACAGGAAATACATAGCCTGAAGCTCATCCTTGATAATGGATGTCACAAATACTCGACTTAACATTTGTTGCGAAACGACTTCCTCTTAGAATTTTCGAGGCTTGACCTAAAAATATTTCTTCACGTCAATATTTTTGCAAATTTGTGTTCCAGTTGGTTATTTAAATGAATTGTGTCAGTAAAAAGAATGAAAAAACAAACATTTTCACGCAAAATGAATATTGTTTATGCGTGCATACCCGCAAATGCAAATGACCTGGATTTAATGTTCTGTTATTTTAATTTGTTAATAGTGTCTAATTTTTTTAAAGATGTTCGTTGATTTTTTCTAAAATTAAGGTTAGTCGTTGGTACGACCTTGTACTATTTACGGCTAGTATGGAAATTTACGGTTCTGCAGTGGCTGATCGTTTGGACAAGAATCGATCTATGCTGTTGCGACGCTATTTCAGACAGGTTGATTTGTAATCGTTTTGCGGGAAATGACGTTAAACGCAGTCGCTATCAATTTTTCAGCACTGTACAATGGATTACGGTGGATACACAAAGGACTTGTCCGCCATTTGTCCGGATCTCAGCTCAGTGTTTATCTTAGATAATTCTCCTGGTGCATATCGACAGTTCCCAGGTGAGAAATCTTTAGCTCTTTATTGTTTACTGTAGTCTTCTAGTTATCACGTTTTTAGGGCGTATTTGTAATTATTTTTTGTGAATTAAAATGCCATGAGAATTTGGCTATATTTCATCCGTAACGATTGCCAGTGTTATAATTGTTCATAGCATGGGCAATAGGTTGTTTTTAGTTTTTCTGTGGACTGAATTTGTTGAAGTGCAACGTTCTAGCAATCTGTAGTTTTATCTGCATCATTTTCCGATTAACTTTGCGATGACTTCAAGAAACGTAGCATAAAGCGTGTTTTTTCTATACCCATAATTCAATATGCGAATGTCTCAGTTACGCCCAAGGTGTGAGCTGATAAATCCCTGTTAATGCTTCCTGAACGACTGACATCTTCAAGTCTAGTTGATCAACTTTGTTTTAATGGACAGGACGCTGTTTTTTTAATCAATCGGATTCGATGAACGGCTTTGCATATCCTTGTGGATCACGGAGTCACGGAACAACGTCAGACAATGTCTCCAGTGTTAGCGATCCTGTGCCATGTCTGTTCTTTGGTAGAAAAAAACCTGAGGCTGGAATAGAGTCTGACGCGGCACTTGCTTTACGTCATTCTCCGTCTTACTCAGGGTCTTAGGTCGATCAGTGTGAAAAGTTGTAGCTGTTTCGCCTTCCATTCTGAAATCGTTCGCTAGTCGTTCCAATACCCTTGCTGTGATGACTTCAAAAGGTGGAGAAACAGCGGTTTTACACCTAGGTTTTCTCGAATATCTTAACTCATTATCGAGGTTCTTAAACACAGCGATTTATCACCTGGAAGACTATTTCATTAGCTTTTATATTTAATTTATTGTATATTTAATGAATTTTTCATTTGACACCATAATTTGGCTTCTTTTCGATGGTGCGATATGTTCTTCATGTACCTGAAGAGTATCAAATCTTAAAATTCTTGTTCTACAGCC